CGTCCACTCACGGCCGTACTCTTCACCCATCCGGTCCAGTCAGGGACCGTTTTAGACGACAGGATGGAGTGAAGAGTCTGACAAGAAAGTGGAAGTTCAAGGGTAAAAATGGCCCGCAGTTTGTTTTTAGAGGACCCTCAAGACCCTCCAGCGCCCTATGGCTGCTGTGCCGCTGCTGTAAGGCCATGCTATGTACAATCTTATTGAGCTGTCGTGATAGGACCTAGGTATGTAGGGCAGGCAAGGGCAGGCTAAAGGGGGAGCTAAGTACGGGTCCTGGTGAAGCCGTGCCCCGGTCCAGGACTCGCACGAGTCGCGGGAGAACCGTCGGAGAATCGGATGAAACGCGTGCTAACTAAAGAAAGAGATACCCTCTTACCCCTTCCAGAATGGCAGAAGATGGGTCGGTGGCGTGAAGTCGCACTCTAGTCCGCTCTCCAGACCCAGAGTACTTGGCTGATGCTCAGCGGCGCTCAGTGACTTGGCTCTGGAGCAGTGCACAATCACCCTGAAATGCCAAGAGGTATGAATGATTCAGTGATGATGGGCTTGATAGAGCCGGCGTTAAGAGGGTCATAGGGCCTAAGTGCGATGGTACTTTCTGATTACAGGTGTAAGAGAGTAGGAGAAGGGGGCCATTTAGGGGATAAGATGATCGCGAGAGAACAGCCAGAGTGTGCCACTGTACTGTACTGGCACGACGCATATAGATGGATGGATGGATGGATGGAGGCATGTCGCTTATGCCATGGGAAATGTGAATAGAAGGTAAGTGCAGCGTGCTGAATTTGGGTACAAGAAGCTCGATTGAAGCTGGGAATAGGAAATAGGGCAGGTTCGAGTGGAGATGGTGGAGGAGGTGGAGGTGGATTGGGGGGCGGGCTTCTAACATTTGTCATTCACTCCCACTCGCCTAGTGCCATCATCTCGTCTGTCTCACCCGTTCAGTGGTGATCGTCTTCGTTAAGGCCCAAGCCCAGGGTTCAGGGTTGGAGTGGCAGGGGGACGGGGGAGGGGGCACATCCACGCTCTTCTGAACCTGCGATAATATGTACCGCAGGTACTTCACTCAGTATTTGAGTTGAGAGGAGAGGTGTGTGGTGTGAAGAAGAGCGAGCAAGGTACTAATTGCAGAGAGGAGTGTAATGCCACAAACAGAAAGAAGAAGAAGAAGGGGGGGTGACATAAGAAAAGGGATGTTAAGTTATGACCTGACCAGGGCATGGGCGGCAGGCGGATGAATGAGACGCGAGAGCACGGTTGAGGTTGCACAAGATGGGCAAAAAAGCCCAACTCGAGAGCCTCGCGCATGTCGCGGCCTGGTGCTGCGCCTACTGTAGAGTAGAGTAGAGTACAGTACAGGACAGGACAGAGATGCAACAAGTACCTCGTCTGCGGCAGGATACTTCAGAGTGAAGGTATCGACACTTGTACCCCCCCGGCCTGTCCTCTCGTCTAACCTTCTCGCTCCGGTCTAGCGCAGTAGTTTTGCCGCTTGCGTACATGGTCGAATGAGAACTCATTCGACATCCGAGCCTGAAGAAGCGACAGGGATCGCGATCCTTTCTCTTCAACTGCTTCTTGTCTTTCTGGAGCGCTATCTTTTGCCTATCGACGCAATCAAAGTCTCCCCCGCCGTCCCCGTTTCACCCTGTCCATCCGTCTGTCACTCAGTCAGTTACTGAAGAGACTGACGGATCGACTGACTCCTGCTCGCGCGCGCACGTACCTCACTCTATAATGTGCTCCCGTATACGTATACTATGCTCGATGCGAACAAGAGGACATCATTCTATCCGTCGTTTCAATTGTTGGAAGTACGAGGTTCCCGAGTCGGTCTTGGTGCTTCGGCTTCTTTTTTCGTCAGTCCAGTCCAGTCCAGTCTAGTTCAATTGAATGAATTCAATTTAATTCAGGCATTATGACGGCACAAAAAAAAATAGATCTCGCATTCATGGACACACATACGGTACATTGACATAGCACAGCACACCACAGCACAAAGCAGTGTTGTACAAACCTCAACCTAAAAACTGTACCGTACAGCCCGTCCGTCATGTCTAGATAGCATGTATGGCTACACAAACAGCTTACATGGGACTTGGTGGTGAGACGGGTCAGCCAGATACAAAACATACACCAGCATAGGTAGATACAGACGGCCATGAAGTCCACCTGCAGTCAAGACGTACCCAGGCGGTGTGACGCCGCGCCTTCGGTACCTGCCTCCCCTTATAGAAAACAATCCGTCATTCTTGCATCGACTCGACCCTGCTGCTCTCCAGGACGTACAGTAGCACAGCGGCTACATGGCCATGCTTGGTCTAGCCGGCCGTCTCTCTCGTCTCTGTCCGTCTCGTTTGGCCGGCGTATCTGCAGCCTGGATGAATCTTGAATGGCTCTTCTTCCTCCAGGCCTTGTCTCACAAACTGCGTCAATTCCTTCTCGAACGCTTACTTAGTTAGTTAGGCTCACCGCTTGGGACTGGGCGGAGAGACGAATGACGGCACACAGGCGCGCGCCGGCAAAAGTGAAGAGTGAAGAGAGAAGAGGGTTCCGTACCTCGCACACCAACTTGCCCTGCGTGGTGTGCACTACCTACCCACTTCCTCCCACTCATGACCCTACCAGAGCGTTGCTTTTTCTTCTTCTGCTCTCGGCTTGATGGGCTGCCCTACCAGCTCGCCAGCTAGCCAACTAGTTCCTACCGCCCAGCAGCGATCTGAACGCCACACCCTGATGCTCCCTCAATCTTCATTCCAATTTCCTTCCAATTTCGTTCGCTGCGTCTCTCCATCACCTTCTCGCTCGTCGGCTGCGGTCTTGTGTCGACGGTGCCGCAGCTAGACCGTCTCAGTTTGAGTTAGTCAACGGCAAACGCCGCCCCTTCTCTTGCACGTAAAGCCTGAGCGCGCGCGCAGTCTCCGTCTTCTCTCCGGGTTGGCGTCTCTAGCCCGGCTCTAAATGAAGACAAGCGTCCCCATGTCCTCGACTTGCTTAACTTTTCTGAGACCTCCGTAACTTCACAATTACAGTATAGTACAGTACAGTACAGTACAACACAATGCTCCAGAGCAGAGAGCAGAAGAGCGTGAAGGGGAAGACGGAAGGGTCCCCCCTGCTACCCCTCCACGCGCGCCATATCATCGCCGTCAAGGGCGTGAGACATGAGCCAAGTCGGCGGATGTCGTCTAGTAGGTACTTGTGCAGGTACTTCTGTCCTGTGCGTGTGTTACCCTGGACCGATGTACATACACACATACAGCATAATCCCTTAGACACGCCCCGCCTGGTACCGTTATGGTACGGTGCGGGTGCGGGTGCATGTTCTCTCCAAGTCGTTTGCCGTGTAGACAGGACTAGATAGGACTGGACTGGACTGGATTGGAGAGGACAGGGCAGAGCAGGGCTGGGGGTGTGTTCATTGCCCTCCAATTTCCAGTATTAACACCAGCGCGGCACGGCAGGGTCTCTTGAAGAGCAAAATGCTGGAGCCTGCGATCCCACCGGTGCCGCGCCACTCTCTATCCACCGTCTCGCTGCACATCTCTTTAACGCGCGATCCACTCTACTCTACACTACTATTCTGAAGAGGTAGTTTCCCTGGCAGTCCTGGGTGCCCCTGGGTACTTTTGGTATTCATCAACAAGTACCCGCTCTCTCTCTGTCTCTCTCTTTCTCTCTCCACCCCGTCTCCCATGTAGTGCCGCCGTTGTCAAGCTAGACATCCCTAGCCTAGCTTCTCTCTTCCCCCATGTTGCTCTTGGGTTTTCATCGTCTCACCCCTCCCCCCTGGCCCCTGGCTCTGGCTCTCTTCTCTGCCTCCCTCCTCTTCTTTCACTCTCATCTCCCGGCCACATTGACGGTCCCTGGCCCTGTCGACTTACACTGCATGCTTGTTCCCTGTCCACCTTTTGTCATAAGTCTTGTTCTCCAAGTCCAATGTACCCAAACAGTTTTGGGCCTGTCTTTCTGCACTAGCTATGGCACTGTACGGGCAGGCTAGGCCATGCCATACCCTTACCATGCCATACCGTAGCATGCCATGCCATGCCATGCCTTACCGTGCCATGTCTTTTTGCCATTGCTTGCTTGCCCAAAGGTTCCCCGGCTCGTCTTCCCTTCCCCTTCTGTCATTCACAACGGCGCGGTACCCTGTCTCTCCTACGTTGGTGACGGTACCACTCCACATGTACTGCCTCCCCAAGAGATTTATAATACCCCCGTTGGCCTGCTCCGTCCCAGACCCAGACCCCCTCTGAGGCTGAGATCTCTTTTAAAGCGTCCTTCCTTCTTCCTAAAGATAGAGTCACTACGACCTCAAAGTCTCTTGTTCAACTACTCGATAAACTGAAGCCTACAGCATCGCCAGCTTTCATCCCATCCCGCCCACCTTATAAGTCTAAAGTGAGCCCAGACTAGAATATATACTCCCAGAGTGCCATCGTCGTTTGTTGGCTTGCAACCTGGGAAGATCAGAAGCATCAACAGTGATCACACTTACAAGGAAAACACACAAACAGACTACGTATGTGCAGTTCGGTGTTCTTCTCGCTGTTCTTCTTTCGTTTTTCCTTTTCAAAATGAATTCAAAGTCATATGCTGCAGACGAGGGTCGAGAGGACATTTACTCACTACCCCCCAGGTCGAGAGCCGGCAGTGGGGTCTCCACTACTGAGAGCTTGTTCCAAGGATTACATATAGTCGAGTCGCCCCCAACCACATACCTCCAAACCTCCAGACCTACTTCATCCCAAGGACTCGCACCTTCTCCAGCATATAGCAGCCACTTCTCTCCTCGTACTTCACCTTACTTGTCTACCAACGCTTCTCAACATCACTCTTCACCCTTTCCTTCTCTATCAGACAGTGTCCTGCATGCCGACTGGTTTGATCTTCCGGCCCAACCTGAAGTCACGCCAATATTGCGAGTAGATCCCGCTCAGGATTACTCTCAACGCCAAACACGCTCCCCCTCATTGACCTCTCAATCAGCGACTATGAGGTATGAAGAGCCTCCCCGTTCAAGCTTCTCCTGCCCCACGCCTAACACCTTGAACAGTACTGCTGCCATCCAGTTCGACCCGGGTTTTAACCACTTCAGTATGGGTAGTCGATCCTCCTTCACCTGGCCTGGTAAGTCTATGATATTTCTGCTCAGACATAGCTTCCTGGTTTCTTACTGACACCAGATGTAGTCTTGGAGTCTGGTCCTGGTCTCCTCGGTCATGACCTCTCAGCATACCCCACGGATCCCAGCCTGACTCCCCCAAGTGGATCAAGATCTGTCACTGCCAGCCCGCCTCGCGGCACCCTGACGCCAGAGCAAAGAGAGCTGAAGCGTCAACGCGACCAGGCTCGCCGAGACTCCAAGGTATCTCAGCGCATTCGAAGAGCCGGCAGCAACTCCTCTCAGGGCGGCTATGATGTGAACTCTCCGCCGTCCACCATGGCAGACTTGACCAGCTCAGTCTCTCTTCCCAGCATCCCAGTATACACCACAGCACCGACAGATATCTCCCTTCTCACGGAGCCCACAACCCTGGCACCGCAACTGGTCCTGCCGCCCTACTCGCCTCCCCTGCCGAGCTCAACTCAGGGCATGTTCCCAAGCCCCTACGCTACTGGCCCTTATATGACGGACTACGGAGCATACCCAGCTTCGACCGGTGCGAACATGCCAGCACACTACGGGTGAGTTTTCTAATCAGTCTAACTTAGAAAAGCAGTAACTAATCCAAATGACAGCTCCGTTGGACCAGAGTCAATGATGTACTCCATGCCGCCAGTCATGCAGGGAGGTGCCCCATCGCAAGAGGGAGGTGTTCGAGTGGTTCAGAGCAGGCCGAAGCCGCAATGCTGGGAGCACGGATGCAACGGACGTCAATTCTCAACCTTCAGCAACCTGCTTCGACACCAGCGAGAAAAGTCAGGACAGGCAGCCAAGGCAACGTGCCCCAACTGCGGTGCTGAATTCACGAGGACTACTGCCCGAAACGGCCATCTATTACACGACAAGTGCAAGCAGCGACGCAGCACGTAAGCTGGGATGGCTAGCGCTTGAGCAGCAGCAGAGTTGCAAGATGAGCATGGGAACTAGGAGTTTTCTTGCATTTGGCACGGGCCGTTTGACGGAGGAGCGTGGTGGGACTTGACTTCCCCTTCGTTTTTGCCAACAACAACTTCGATTCGACATTTTTACGGGTTATCTTTTATTGCGAGCGCGATGTCAGCACGAGAAACGTGTGTACGGATTAAGGCAATGGGGCATTGGGAAAAAACGGGACAGTCCTCTCTACAGCTGAGCGGGGAGGTTCTTTTTTGGACACGAGGACACCGCATTCTCTCCGTCATCTTGCGGGCTTCTTCTCCTGCCAAAGGGAAAAGAATGTCCCCCAATTTAGACAGCTGTGCGGGCGGAGCACGGCAGGCGTACTTGCAACGGATCATTGGATATACGGGCGAAAGTTCCCAGATTCTTTCTATGGTTATATTTTTTGTCTCTACTTATTTTCTAGCTTCCTTTCTTTGGCCTCATGAAGCTCTACGATGCGTATCCCCTCATGTCAACGCACTTGTTGCAGTGCGGTACAGTCATCATAAAAGGGACGTACATTGACAACGGGCAGCGAATATACCCTCAACTTTATCTGAATACAGAAAATGAGTTCAAGACATTTGAGTGCCTTGGCCACTGTGACTGCTAGAGTGACTTTGATAGACCACAAAATTTGGTAGCCTCCTGTTTCGTCTGTGGTATGTTGGTCCTGTCGTTTGTTTCGATCATCGACCAGATTTGCATTTTACAATGGGACCCATCAGTCAGTTCCCACGGGCCATCCCGGTCTGGGGGGTTGCAACTTGCAAGAATGATCCACCACGTCCAGACCCGAAGCCGGGGTACTCGGCTGCATCGGTCATGGAACAAGAGACGAAAGGGATTCAGACTGGGGGGGGGGCGGCGCGGACTTCACTGTGTGTGCGGCGCGTGTGCACACATGCGCAATGGCTGGCCGGCTGACTGGCTTGTTTGGTCCCTTGAAACAAGAACCAAGCATTACTGACTGAGCGACTGTACTTCTTGTTCTTGTTGTTGCTGCTGCCGCAGTAGACGGCAATAAGGTGTTGACTGTGAAGCCAAAAGCAGGGCCACCCCCCTCCACAATACACCCCTGAGCCTGAGGGGTGAAATGGATGGACATGGCTCTCCATTGCCCGGTAGGTACGGCACAGTACAGTCAGGGCAGGGCAGAAAGGCCAAACTGTCCGGCCAGTCTGGGGGGGTTCAGTGAACGGGCCACTCAACGGTCGCACCACGACTGGGTCCCAGACAGCCTGACCTTGTGAAGGGTCGCATTGAGTGTGAGTCTGTGGGCGAGCTTGTTGGTGTCAGTTCTCTCCTACCAGTCTCGTCGCTCGTCACCCGAAGCTGGCTGGTCTCGAGGACCCAGGCCCGAGGTAGGGACGGGAAAGGGGGGAGGGTTGCACAGCGGCAGTGGATTTGCTACGACTCTGGCGAGCAAGGACCTGCTCTGCTGCTGCTTTGCTTCTACAGAAAAGCAGGACTTTGTCGTTGCTTTTCCCAAATGCGTTCACCATGCGTAGAGGTGGCACCGCGTGTCATTCTAATTGGCGTTTGTACAGAACAGTGCATGCGTATAGGGCGCTAAGACTACGTTACCTTACCTAACTTCGCATTTCTGCTTTGGTCCTGATTGACTTACACACCGGCCGGATCACCCCTTGGCTGCCATGCCATGCAGAAGTACCTATATGCTAGTGACCTCGCGGGGTTTAGGCTCGCAAAGTTCTGCGAGAGCTCGGAGTGGTCGGAGCATTTGGTCGGAGTTGAAAACAGACAACGGGGTTAATTAGGTCGGAAAGGAGTTGACTGTTTGCTCTTCCTGGCATAGTGTGTACAGGGTGGATTTGGAATGCCGATCGTACAAGTTCAGAATAGAAGTCTTCACGGGATAGCCCAACAGAACGGCACTTGAGAAACTACGCACTAAGGTTCACGTTAGCTATGGCAGTTGTTGCACTTAGTTGGCCCTATCCTAGGACGGCCGAGATGAGCCGTTGCGAAGGATGAGTTGGCAGGGCTGAACGGTCCGCACTAGGTAAAATGAAGTCTTCAACGGCCCTTCTGTTACAGAGGATGGTCTCGGTGCAGTGATTGGGGGCACGGCTGGCAGTTGCAATGTTAGGATATCTCCTATCTCGACCAAGCAGGGTCAAGAGTCAGGGCAAGGGCACCTTGGGCCTCCTGCCACGCAGGACGGCAACTTGAGGACACTGCATACCGCCCTAGTCCCAGCAGATAGATGGGCGTTAATTCAGTCTGCTGGCTGGTTGAGACGCCCCGGCCGCGAAAATTGACGACGTTCTGGGACAAGGCGCTGATAATGACGCTCAGATCGACCAGCCCAATCTCACGCACTCCCAGCGGACCCGGTCGTCCCTCGCGGGACCGCAAAATTGTCGCCGGGGATAATAACGCCGACCTGGAAGGACAAGCAGATTGACAGACAGAAGGCGGAGAAGCGACGGGATTGCCTGACGGTGTCGAGAAAAAGAGAGAGCGGCGAGGGCCAAGACAAGACGAGCACACGCGGATGGGTCTGCTGCGACGGTCCTAAAGCGGGAATGAAGAAGACACAGCCGCGATGGAAATAGCAGAGCTTGTTGTGTGCATCATTCTGGCCTGACCTTGCTCTGTGCACCAGCGAGTCTTAGCCCGAATCGTCCACCGTTCCCAAGCCTTGGTCCACTTGCTCTGCAGTAGTCCTTGGCGCAGGGGGCACCAACTTGACGCTAACTTAAACCTAAACCGCGCCATGGCCGTTTGGCTGGGTTGCTGGACGCTTGTCTCCTTGAGGGATGGTGCCGCCATTACGGCTCTGGTCCCGGACTGCGACCCTGCTCCTCACGGACGGGGAGGGAACGCCAGGGATACGCCGGGGAGAACTGGAGACTGGGTGAAATGCCAGGCGTGCTAGGGCATCTTCTTGGCACCCGTTCGCTCACCAGGGGCGCCTTAGACTAGACTCTGCCCAGCAAATCGTCCTTAGGGGCAGGAAATGAGAGCGCGTCCGTGTTTCAACCTGCATTGTACTTCTGTCGGGTACTCTGAAAGGGGCAAGTACCCGAGTTGCGACCGTTGATCTCCTTGCAGGCCAGGTATTCCGGTACAGTGCCCCTCACAAAGTTGACAGTTGCTCCGAGATCTTGAGCATTGTTCCAGTGGGCAAATTCGCCACTGGCCTTACAAGGCTCAGGCGAGCGACAAACCCAGGGCGATCCAGCCAGTGAGTGAATGAATGTACTGTGCCGTAACTTGCTAGTTGCGTCCGAGAGAATGCCTCGCATCACCTCTGTCTAAAGAGCGAAAGTTTCAAATGCTGCATTTAAACGATAGCGTTCTCTCGTCAGCACCGAGTCCGAGAAATAGCAGCATACCGTTTAGGAAATCATCCAGAAGGTCCATTAAGGGAGGGTTGTGCTTGGCTTGGTGGGCTTCCCTGAATAAACCCAAGCCGTCCGCTTCGGTGCCGTGCTGACTTCTCGGACGCGGGAACCGCGAGAGTGGACGAGGGGGTTGGTGGCTGCAGCCACCCTCCAAGGGGAACCTATCACACCCACCCGGCGCCTTTGCTGGGATTACACGGCATCGCGTCAGACCAGGGACACCCAAGGCGTGCCAGGTGGTTAGTGGGCAAGGTTCACTCTCCCCCTCGTCTCCAAGCCTAGAGTAGTAAGTCCATGACCATAGTAGGCAGCTTACATAAGGACACCCCCGGTGAGGAGTCAGTTTGGTCACTTAGCTTCCTCTTCTTCCACTGCTAAGGACCGGGCAATGTGGTGCTGGACGTGGATGCGCATTGTGACCTCTCTGCTTTGCAATCTCCCACCATTGGCTGGTCGAAAAGATTTGAATTAACCACTCACAAGTGACGCTCCACCGTAGCACCGTCGGGTAGCCGTGATGAGAGAAGAAGGTCCTTCGGGTGCTGTCGCTTGTTTCTTGCTAGACCTGGGCTAGCACTGCTGGCAGCCAAGAACAAGATGCACTATCTCACCTGAGTCCAACGACCAGGAGAGATACCCAGTTACTACAATGCAGTAAGTGCCCTCGAGTCTCCTGATCCCTCGACTCCTAAACTTCTGCAGCATCTGCCGCTCGTCTAGTCTCGGCCGTTATCTTCTGGTGTTAGTCTGTTCCACGTCTGGCCAGGTGTGGTAGCTCGAGTTGATGTGTGCATTGGCTGCTATATGTTAGGTGCTGATGGCGTCGAACCTTTGCGAGTAGGGGCAGCCCGTCTCAGAATCCGCACTGCATGGTCCATCAATGAACCAGGTCGCAAAGCATGTGTTCATGAGGCCGTCACATGAATGCCCCTCATAGCCGATGCTACAGAACTCAAATGTCTGGTCACCGGCCGGGCATTTCATGCTCTCTATCTCATACACATCCATCTCCTGGTGGTTTGCATTTGGGGGCCACCCCCGTCGATGTTAATTGGACGTTGCATTACCAAAATGGAACGTTGGAGCAGCAGGTCTCACAATTTGGTGTTGCACAACAGTGACGACACCCGCGGTTCCTTCGTCTCTGTACTATTGCTCTTTTTTTGATTGTGAACTTGGGGAGCAGCTGACCCTGGGTAAGCTGCCAGCTAGAGGTGTGAAATGAGCACCCAATCGCTCCCTTCCAATGTGATTATTAAATGTAATGCGGGCACGCAGCTGTGTCGCCACTACTAATAGCCTTCTTGGGCACTAGACTGCGATTTCAGCCCGGGGATCTTGCAACAGCCGGCCCACAGTAAGCACTTTGAAATCGCCGATGTGCTGGCCTTCATTGGATGGCATAACATATATATGCCTGGCGGCAATCTCGTAGGGCAGGCCTTGTGGGTGTTGGGGGCTAAAGAGAAATGTCAGATCCGAGAACAAGATGCTCGTTTGGAAACATATCTCCTATGGTCGATTGAGTGTTCACGATTGCACATTACACGATCTTCGCGATGTGAGATGGTTTCCTGTGGTCACCTGGCAAGGCAGGTGTAACTGCTATTTTTACCGCTGGTCCTCCACGCAAATCTTCCTTAGCCACCACCTAAATGGGGCTCAACTGGCGGGACGATCAGATTGCGGAAGGATTGACCAGAAAAGTTGTGTGATGCCCAGCTAAGCCGGCGTGGTACACTCCAGCGGCCCTGTTTATCCTGTGCAGTAGTCGCAGGCGAAGTGGATGAACAAGCTCCAGGCAACAGAATTTCCAGAACAGCGACTCGACCGCTTTCGCTTCTCATTATCGGACTCACTAGGGTGTTTCATTGACGACCCTTCTAGGGTGACCCTGGTTGTGGATTGAAGGGTGTGTCGATAACTACTACCCCTGTTCGACCCGACTTTCGCCAAGCCCTCGAGCGCAGGGTTTGCAGGGGTGCTGCCAAAAGACGTCTGTCTGTGTGGAGGGGGGTGTCTGGAAAAGCCGTTACGCTGTCTCTACGCAGAACTGCTGCCCCTTACGCCCTTGTCCTCCACGATGCTTTTGAATCTGGTGGCTGTTGTGGTGAACCTCACTATGTACAGGCAAGTCTTGTCAAATCGAAACAATTCCATGAAGCAAACGAGCCACACCACTTGCAGCCCCTGTTTCGTTACCGATGACGAGCTATTTGGCCAGAGCTATTCAGGTCGAGCTCTAGTGGCTCCTAGCCTGGACTGCCGTAGAGGGATCTACAGACAAAGCTCGAAAGTTACGGCCGGATGGGTGGTGACTCTTGCGGGGAGTTAATGATCTGATGCCGATGTGTATCGGGCCATTGGCGGTCAAATAAATAATGCAAATACTGCTATCGCTTTGGAATAGCTGTCAGATATAGGTCAGGTCAGGGATGCCATTGCGAAATGTCGCCAAAGGGCACATCGCGCTCTGTATCCCAGAAAACGTGGGAAGCTAGCTCGGAAAGGATGGTGGACTGTAGGGTACTTTTCCATTGCTTTGGGAGCCGTCCAACCGTCGTCCCGGTGGTGGGGGCGTAGGTGCCGCCCCTGTGCACTACCATTCGTCACAGATCACTACAGTACCCTGAAAGTACCCTACTGTTGTTGACAACCCGCACGGATGAGCTAGTTGCTTCAATGCAAAGCATGCCATATGAACGGCCTGTTGGCATGATAGGATCTAGATACGGCTGAGAGACGTTAAGGTTAAGTCTGTTCTGTATCGCTTGCTATTGTTTGAGGAGACTTTGCGTGCTATTAGCGTACGTGGTCCAGGATGAAGCTTGTAATGACAACTCAAAGGTGGTGGTCCAAGCTGCTGGTAAAGCTTTGGGGGCGTCCAATGTGCATCCTGGAAATCCCGCAAGTTTCGTGGATAAACGGCGTGGCAGCCAATGCTACCCATCCATCTCTTAGCTTTCCTGGAAAATTATCAGGCCTTAGCGAAGAATGCAACCCAAACTTGATGGATTGTATTACAGCACCTGCTGCACAATCACCTGAACATGGGCGGTGGTCTTCGTAGAGTAAGGCAGATTTGCAAATATGGGAATCCGCCTCGACAAGTTGAATCCTGGGCCGTCTTTCCTCTTGAAAGGATTGCCGATGCACGAACACGGCGAACACTCGTAAATTCTCGACGGGATTATGCGCCGTGTCCGACTATCCCGTGCTGTACAAGACCAAGACAGTCAAAGGACAAGTCACAAAGGAAGACGAGCTGTGCCGCTCCCTTACAGCGTGGCGGGGGTTCGCACGATACTGTATAGTTAACAGTCGGAGACTTCTTGCTGCCAGATTGGTGCAAGACGCCGTCGGGCGACGCAGGGCAGAGCCAAGACTGCTAATGCACTGCTGGTCGTCTGTCTGAGGCTGGGACGAGGGGTTTGCCAACGGCCGACGACCTGTCTGTAAGCTTGAAGGCTATTGCTCCTGCTCCTGCTCCTGCTGCTGATGCATTCGTAGCGGGCAATGGCTTGAAGGATGAAGCGCATGGCCTTCAATAGGAGTCTGCAGGAGTCGCAAGTTTGTGGGGTCGAGAATGCCCTCTGCTGTGGTAGGAGTAACCTGAGCGCTTCGATCGGACCTATCGCTGTATTCAGAGGCGACCCGACCCACCCTCCCAGACGCGCATCACAACACCATCGCTTTTGTATCTGGTCGCCGACGGTGATCAAAGAAGACGGCGAATGCGGACGTGACCTCCGCTGTATGCACGGCCGAGACACATCGATGCTGCAGCGAGTCGGCACGGGCTGGTGGAAGGAGATTGCGAGGAACAGGGTGCAGCCCACTTGGCAACGGCACGGCCAAACAGGTCATCAAGTGCTAGCGCGGATAATCCGCACCCCCGCTACCGACGTGAAAGCATGCGCCTCCCTAAGCGCGCCCTCCCCATTTGTCCAAACAACAAGCGCCGGCGGTTAAGCTAATCCCTAGACGGGAAACCACCCAAACAGAGAAGCCATCACCGAGCCCAGACGAGATTGAGACGCGTCGAAGCGCCAGCATCAACATCACCACCATCATCATCATCGCCATCACCAACCACCCTTACCGGTGATCTTCATGATCCCAGCACGGCCGCCAGCAGCAACAGGAAACTAAAGCCGCACGGAAGACCTGCCTTGTTCAGGTGCAAGTCCAGCTTCCGTTGCAGGGTACGGTGCAAGGGCGTGGTTCCGACGTCAGACGGTGAGCTGGTGCGTCAACAACCCCTCGTTTGCACGTCCAGCCTGGTCCAGGACCCAGCCGAATGGGACATGTTCTTCGTTGTTGGTGATCCATAGGCTTGGAAGAGGGCGTTTAGTTTGTGCTGAGACTCGTGGCTTCCTGCTTGTTGGCAGCCCACGTTTTTCCTGCGCTGTCACGCCCAACAACGATCGCTCTACTGCCCCACTGGCGGCTGAGCTCGTGAGATATGGCTGCTGCTGTGGCATCGTCTAAGTGGAAGGCGAAGAGGCGCAAGGTGTTCCACTCCGTCTTCCAGACCGACATTTCGCAACCAACACCATACTCAACACCATCGGCAAGGTTCCCCGACCAGGGGCAGATGTTTGGAGGACCAGTCACACCCCAGGCTAGGCAGCATCATGCTCTAGCTGTGCCATCAGGCGCCGCAGCAGAGCAGCACCTGCATCCAGCAAGTCAGGGCCAGGGCGGTCAGCTCTTTGCAGACTTGAACTCTTCAAGCTATTCTCCGACTATCCCAGCCTCTTCATTTCTTACTCCATCTACACAGCCCCAATTCTCCCATCATGGTGCTGCAGATGACCAGGTCCGCTACGATAGAGCGTGGCATACCGTGACCTCGCGGCTAGTCCTGCCCTCCTCCGTGACGGCCGAGGATTCGTTCGGGACTCTGCCCCCGGAATCGCAGTTCCACTCACAAGATGAGGAGGCCGAATTTTATGCTAGCCTCCGGGTGGTGCTTCACCCCCGAACACACGTGCCTCGTGCTACGCATACCGAGGACCTTCTTTCCTGGCATACGCAGCAAGTCCGGCGGAACTTTGTTCAACATACAGTCCCCCTATTATCTGCCCTGACAGGACCATCTGGCATAAACAGCCAAGCAGATGACAAGGCAAGATCTACATACGAGCATCACATAGTCATAGTTGAGGGCAGTATCCAGACACTCGAAGCAGCTCTTCGGCAATACTTCTTCTGCCTGTCATTGATTATCAGGGGTCTCGAGCCACTCAACCATGGAATCGACAGCAATTCTCAACAAAATAACGAGCTGCAGGATATACCACCCTCTGCAGAGGTAGTAGTAAATCGCTTTCGGCGGGACATCTATGCACTTGTTAGCAACTCGGCATCTCCTTCACTGATGGCTTCGCTCCATGCTGTTCTCGTGAGCCTTGTAGCCAAAATACTGCAAATGCCATCTCCTTCTCCAAATGAGGGACAAGGAGCTGGAAGCAATTCCAAAGAAAGGTTGGATGACCGAAGAGCTCGTTCAGACAGTGTCGTGGCCGATGCAGCGAGAAAAAGGCTTTTGCAACTGGTCGATTCGCTATACAAGGTTGGCTTAGCAGGCGAGAGATTCCAAGTTTTATTTGCAGAAGTCATGGACCAGATGATGCTGGAGTTTATCAAACGATCTTATAAACGAGTCTGGAAAACCCTGGACAAAAAGGCACAACAAAGCGAAAGATTGGACAAGACAGCTGTCAAGTCGCTGGACTTGTCCACGACTTCTTTGTGTATTGTTTCGCTGTGCAATTGGGTCGAGGATCATTTTGCTCGTCTAGCATTTGAGGTTCTGATCGGAATCGAAGGTGCTGGGTTGATGCAAGGTAAAGGGGGTGTCTCTCTGTCAGATGTGAAGAAGTGGAAGGAGATTGCTGTTAGCCGTCTCGCCAGCTTACGCATATCTGAGCTATTTGACATCGTTCTTGCATGGCCAGATAGTAAAGGCGGCTTGGACGACCTTCGCGCAAGTGTAACCACGCCAGAGAAACGTCGACAGCTCACAGATTTCTTCTCATCAGCTCTCAAGAAGCGTCTCCTCCACCCTGGTTGCTCAACGCTTGAGATTCTCCAGGTGTATATCTCTATGATCCGCACTTTCCATGCACTGGATCACTCCAAGGTGCTGCTTAGCCGCGTAGTGACGGCCCTACAGTTGTACCTTTGCCAGCGAGATGACGCTGTACGAATTGTGGTCACAGGTCTACTAGCAAGTCCTGACGAAGTGAAACAATATCAACAGAGACATATCCCGGAACCAGGCAGTTCTACAAACTCAGGAGCTTCTCATGTCAGTGGAGATGGGAAGCTTGTAGAACTAGCGGTGCTCCTCAATGACCCTGCCCAGCAGAGACGGGTACATGTTGATGAGGAGGAACTGGACTGGGACGACATGGAATGGATGCCAGACCCGGTCGATGCTGGGGTGAACTACAAGCGGCCGAAGAACGAGGACGTTATCGGAACTTTGATCAATGCACTAGGCTCTCAGGATGTATTCATCAAAGAGTTTCAGAACATCATCGCAGAACGTCTACTCGCAGCTCAAGGCAATTTTGATCAGGAGATCAAGGTGCTGAATCTTCTCAAGAAACGATTCGGCGACGGCGCGCTCCAGAATTGCGATGTCATGATCAAAGATATCTTCGACTCCCGCCGGGTTGATGCCGTAATTCGGAAGACGCACCTCGGGCAGCCAGTACAGCCACCTAGGCAATTTGGTCCTCCATCGACACCGCCTGCTTATCAACAAATGGGTCATCAGCTAGACGCAGATGAAGCAAAATTGCACCTCGTCCCTTATCAAGCCCGCATCCTCTCACGACTTTACTGGCCCAATATTGTGCAAGACACGTTCCTCCTTCCAAATCCAGTCGTGCAGCAACAGCAGAAATACGAGCAGGGATACGAACGTCTCAAAACGTCACGGAAACTCACTTGGCTGGATCATCTTGGTCAAGTCTCGGTAGAGCTAGACCTGGCAGACCGCACAGTCTCTGTGCAATGCAAGACCTACGAAGCAGCTGTAATCTATGCCTTCCAGGGCCCTGATACAGCAGATGACCCAGATGTCCCAGCTGTCCGGCGTACGACTGACGAACTACAAGAAACGCTCAGGATGGACGAAGAGCTGGTTTTCCAAGCCACCGAATTCTGGGTATCTAAAGGCATCCTCTCTCATGTCTCGTCCGAGCCGGACACATATATTGTGATCGAGAGGCAAGAGACCGTACAGGCAGCGCGGCCTCCCCTCCACCCTGCTGCCTCAGCTCCGGCTGCCCTGGAAGGAGACTCGCCTCGCAAGCCTCCTCTTCAACGGCCCGGCACCACTGGCGCGATGGACGCCAAGGAGAGGGAACGTCGTGCTGTCTACTGGCAGTTCATTGTGGGCATGCTGACCAACTCGAGTCCGACGATGCCGCTTTTCCAGATCGCGATGATGATGAAGATGCTCATCGCCGAGGGATTCCCTTGGAGCAATGAAGAGCTACAGGATTTTCTAGGAGAGAAGATACAAAGCGGCGAACTGGAGCTCGCCGGTGGGAAATACAAGCTTGTGAAGAAGTAAAGACGTATATCAGCCGTATGGAAGCGCTAATCAATGAACCTCAAATGATGGGCGGCTTTTATTATCTTTACATCTCAAGACAGGAGGTGGTTTTAGTATCCAAACTCTTATGGGCGCCGTGTTACCCTGTTCTACGAGTCCTCAAGTCTGAGAATGTGTCTGGTATGGACGCTATTCTTAAAGCTCGGAACCAACTCATGGTGGCCATAGAAATATTCATCATGTACCTTGGAACCAGTGTATCAATGAAATGAGATGAACTGCATTCAGTACCTACATATTTGCCTGTCAAGTGAACTTCGAGCTTCCTGATGCCATGTGTACGTTATAACGGCCAAATGACTATGTAGAATCTCCCAAACACGGCCGTCTATGTCGGCATCGAGGTTATAACAACTAAGGTCTGATAATGTCCAATACTCCTTTCGCGGTCAGAGCGATGTGGCAAGAAGAATTCACGCCGACGGATGGGCCCTCGCGCACTAAGAGGGAGAAAGAGAAAAAAAACCGATTCTGCGTTCCGTGTTTGATGCCAGGTATGAATTTGAATTTCAATAGTCAAGTTATTGTTCCAACGGCATGATGTAGAGGGTTCTGCTCAATCAAATGCGTGGGTAATATGATCCAGATATGGCCTCAAGAGGGAAAGATCAGTAACGGGCTTATTGTTCACATCCATGCTAACAGTCGTTTTTCTGTTGTGAATATACTCATAGATCCGGATGGGAAGATGGAGACACAGGGCGTGAGCTCACGGTCGGCAGCTCTGGCAATACGCTGGAACTCACGGACATTACAACATAGCCGGAAGACAATGCGCGTCAGACAAGATAAGAAATCCTAGGAATGCCCCTCTGCCTCTGGAATGTCCCGATGCGTGTACCGGGGCAAAATCCGCTTAGCGACGGGCGCGGGTCATCCGGAGCCTTGAATATCCCAGATCGGTTACCACGCGGCAGAGCGGGAGAAATCCTGAAACATGGGCCGGTGCAACAGCGGCGTGGTTTCTGCCAACACCCGCAACTTAAAACGGTCGGGCAAGAGGCTTAGAGGACGCAAGAAGCGCATGCCCGTGCATACGCCGAGGAGGTGATGCCAAAAGCGTCCAGGTGCGTCCGTCCGTGGCATCGAGGTGCATTTTTTTTTTTTTTAATCCGAGACGGTATCCGTCAAAGCCACACACGAACAACCCCTCTCTTCCCCTCCCAGCCCCGCTGCCGTCTTCGCCGTCCTCTGTCTCCTGCACTCGGGACGGTGCCGCCGTTTGACTGGTTGATGAATAACAATGGCTTTTGTGATCCTCGTCATGTGGTAATGTTGCTTGTCCGTCAGCGGGGAATTGTGGCCATGTGAGACAGGCGGGTGGAGGTTCCTTGGAGAATCCTGTGAGGGCACCGGAAGGAGAAACTCAAAGCGGTTGTGTATCTTCCAGAATCAGGTTCTGTCAGCGTACATCACTTGACGACGCAGCAAGTCGATCTGTTCCGGTCCGAACTTATCCATCAGAAACGGTTGGAAACGTGCGCCGGAAAAGTGACTTGTCTGAGCAACGGAGCTTAGTAGATTTAGCAAGAACAACGGCGAGGAACGAGGGCTTTTGTGCATCCTGATCCAGTCTGGCCTCTAGCAAGGGTCAGTAAACTCTGTGTTGCCCGAGCGGATGATGTGTGAGGTAGCGTAATTTGATGAATGGGCGTTGCTGTAATCGGCGACATGCGATGACTCAGGCGTGAGACTCACTGGAGCCACCGCCATTTGGATGGGAGTGAGCACTGCGGGAGTGACTGCAGTTATGCAGTGACGAGTCCAGGGTTTAGTCAGTTCGAGTTCAAGGTGGCGACCGGTGTAATATGTGATAGCAAGGGAAAGATGATATGAGACCAACAAGAGGAACGAATCCTGAGAGTTGCCGAGTAAGCGTGGTGGACTTCCGGGGAACAGGGCAGCTGAGCATGGTTTGATCTGATAGAGTTTGTGTGCTAGGGGAGAGGGAGACTGCAGCGCTGGCTGAAGAGGGTTATATATCATTTGAAACTATTGATACAATAGCAACAAGTATGCATTCTGGTCGGGTTCAGCTGTCGTAATTGGCTCCTGTCCTTTCTTTGCTGGCTCCTCAAGGGCAGCCTCGCAGCCATCCTCTGGCTGTCTGGAGAGGGTAAGCCCGGATGGCTGGTTACGAGTGAGGCAAGCGCGCCCTACTGTGGTCTTGTCCACGAAAAGTTGGCTGGCGACGATCACAATGCGCAGTGACAGAATCGTGCGCTCTCTCTCCGCTGGCGGATTCGCAGTGGCTGGGGGACCTGGAGATGTGGTGTGAGGAGGGGTTGCCGGTCAGCCTAGCCATTTGAGCCACTTGGCACATCTGAAGCCCAGAACTCAAATTCCAGGAAAGAAGCCAGTAGCGCCGTGCAAAGAGGTGCAAAATCTCTCACGACCCCCAGCCCAAGACCCATCGCCATAGGCACGAATGGTCGATCAGTAAAGTTTGACGAGCAGAAAACGGGGCGAAACCCCCTCCACTCTTGAGAACTGCTGGCACCAAAGAAGGAACAGCAAGCGAGAGACCCAAGACAAGCACTGGAGCCCTGTTGAGTAGTATGCGTTACGAGGGACGTAGTATGAGCAGGGATATGTGAGGACATATGAGGGCTTTGGCGGGTCGGAGACGGTCTTTGAAAGCAAAACGAGACTATTCTCACAGATGAGGGATAGAGAGATCCCTCACTCGCTGCCCATCAAACCGACAGACACGTACGTTAGGCAACCATAGACGATGCGATCCTTATACGCTACAAAGTCCGGCCTGGCTGGCTGGCTGGCTGGCTGGCTGACCGGTCGCCTGGATGTGAAGAGTCGTGGCACGTCAGAAGTGCTCGATCGATTCAGTCAGTCATTTCGTGCTGGCAATAAGGACGATTTCTGTAAGACAGTCGACCCTTAGCCAACGAAGGCAGGACAAGGTTGGTCCTGGGGTCCTGGGGTCCTGGGGTCCTGGGATCCTTGCCGACCAGCCTTCCCCCATACTGGCAAGCGGCAGAATTAGGTGTTGCATGGTCCCCATTGCAAGCTGTACTGTCGCACACGCATTGGATGCTTCAATATGCCTGCATGTTTGAGCATACGAGTTTGCCTCATCTGTGGCGCTTCACTTGAACTTGCAGCCCGGGAGGCTCAAGGCTGGGATGGAGACGAAGACGGGCGCGATGAACAATGATATCATACGACATCCATCGCGTCGAGGGGGGGCACCGGGGGCAGCTCGACTTGTCTTTATCTGTTTGTTATCGGCCACCCATCGTATCTAAACCAGACCTCGCGGATGCGTGCTTTGGAGCAATCTCGTCAGCGTGACCGGGGGCGTCCATGATCGGCTCGGGGATGTGAAGCTGGAGGGAACGAATCAGATGTCTCAGCCAAAGTCAGAGAGGTCCAGAGGGCCAATCGATAAGGATGTCGAACCTCATGGCAGACAGGGATCTGCTGTGTCGGGACGGCGGGGTAGATATTAGGCCAGAGTAGGCCGAACCAAAAGTAGATGCGCTACGCTCGGCAAGGTAAGATCCAGACAGGGATCTAGAGTGGTTTTTCTAGAGTAAGACAAAACGGAAGACGCTTCCAGCTTGATTGAGTTGGAGTTTGTCGAACCGAGTTGCTAATTCTGCCTCGATCCCCCAAGACTGCCAGCGTAAGCATGTAGATGGGTCAAAGGTTGAAAAGACCTCGGACAACCTCTGAGGGCTTTCATCTCTTCTCATGAATAGCTCTATTTTGGGAATAAGGTAAGTGTGATCGCCCGCGGTAGGGTAATGAAGGGAGCGCCCAAAAATGCCACTTTATCTAGGGTACTACTGTATGACGATGTCCCAAGACAGTTCTGGTGTTCCGACCTCCCTCCTATTCCCATATCCGAGTGACCCTTGTCTGTTTGAATGATCGCCATTTTGAACAACTTCTGAACCTTGCTAGACACTAGACCAGACCAGCCGACTTTCTCTCCAAAAAGGTCTTCTTATCTCTCGGTTTTCTCCTTTGGCAACCGCGATGTCTATCTATCCTTTAGGCAAGAACGACCGGGAGCGGGGACAGAGCGATAAGGTTTATCGTTCCCGATTTCCGTCTCTCACTAGATACCTGGGTAGGTAGGTAGGCAGGCAATCCACGTTTACACTCTCTATCACGGAGGACTTGTCCGGCTGGAGGGTCGGTCGATTGGATCCAGGTGGCATTTCGTGCTGCTGCTGCTGCTGCTGCTGTTGAGGACCCCTACCGAGCCTACGTAACTCTATGGATATTACCTAGAGTACTGCGTGGTAGGCCATGTCCCAAACTGACCCGCCCAACCTTCTTCGGTGGATGCAGCGCATCGTGCCTCAAAACCGTCCTCAGTGCAACACAAACCCCCCCACCCCCAAACCGCCGTCTGGGCTGGGGTTCGGTTCAAAGAAACGGAAGCCCTTGCGAAGCCGCTGACGCACAAACGCAACGAGACAGAAAAAGAAAAGTCGACACCCCCAGCGAGCCAACCTCATAGCCTGGTCCTGGTCCTGGTCCTGGGCGATTGATTGGGAACACCACGGCAATGCCATTCCGTTCACTGATTCATCTCCAGCTCACTCGATTTCGCCCGGCGGCGCTTCGGCAGACCCATTACTCCAAGACCCGTACTTTTACCTTGGCTCGGCTTGCCTCGTCGCTCGCTCGGGGGTTGGAGACGACAATTTGATGATCAGCTTTGCTAGTGCCGAAGTCAGAGGACAGAGCTGAACAGCGGCATGGATGAAGGAAGTCGAGGTAGCTGGTAGCTCTACTCAAGCAACACAGATCCAGTTTCGTCGACAAATGATTACCACCAACAGCCCCGCGCCTCAAACCCGCCAGAATTTACTTGGCAGCACCCACCTGGGCCATCACAGGCTGAAGTGAGCCTCTGTGCTTTTCAAACACAGCTTCTTCCTTTACGACCTGTAGCAGTAAATTCAGCCTGGCTGTATTGACAG